TTTTGAAATAAGACAGCAACCCCAGTGACAACCTTCTCTCACTATTTGAGTTTTGCATTTTGTTTTCTATCTATCGTAGTATCATAATTTTATACTAGCTATTATCTGTAATGTATTAGCTTAGATTGTTTTTTTGTTTTTTTTTCTTATCTATTTTCTGTTTTGTAACCTTTTATTCCTTTTTAAACTTTTGTAACCATTGCCGGGGAATGTGTAAGTGTTAATAAAATTATTATACTGTGTCCACAAGAGCCATTTTTAGCTCCCAGGTCATTTTCAAAAAGAACGACCTGGTAGTTTGCATTTGAGTAATCTCATCAGTGCAGGAACACAATGTCACTGGTGCTGTCATGCTAACCATAATGGCATAGCAGTTTTATAAGTGAAATACATATACCCGGTAGTACAAACTAAGACAAAAACTGTTATGAATCTATTGTAGGAAATCTTTCCTGCGCATGTTGCTGATATGAGTAGTTTAAGGTGGTTGAAATTAAATAAAGCTGGAATACAGTTACTGCCAGAAGAACTGTCAAGCCTTTCTAAACTGGTAAAGTAGCAATCATATGTTTTATTTCCTTTATTAGAATTACTGTGAAATACTTTATTTAGGCTGGAATTAATTCTCGCTGAAAAGGCTTTTTGGGAGTATTGTATGGAATTTATTTTTACTGATTTTTGATGAGTTTAATGTGAAATATAGGAAAAAAAGTATATTCACTGGATTTTATTTTCACGGAATCATCCCTTCAGCGAAAATAGCGAAAATAAATTCCAAGCGAAAATAAAGTATTCTACAGTATGTAAATTACAGAGGTGTTTCCATGGTCAAATCACAGTCCAGTTGTTCAAGGACTGGCCTAATTAAGCAATATTTACACAATTTAAAGTACTGTTATGATTCATTGAAAATAAAATCCAGTGAATATAACTTTTTCCCTGTATTTTGCATTCAACTTGTCACAAATCAGGTAAAAATGAATTCCATACAAAACACCAAAAAAGTCTTTTCAGCGAAGATGTGCTTCTAATATAGCAAATAGTAATGTGTTTTGAGTAATATTGAAAACAAGAATAGGGTTTGTAGGTATACAAGGGTTCTTCCAGACGGGCACAGCGCCCTCATACCCCAGGCTGGCGGCCTAATACCAAACTTGGAACAGTCAGTAGATTATGATCAGTTATATCAAATAATACAATGTTACCAAGGGTAACAAAAATGTGCTCCCTCTTAAATTTAAAAACAAAACAAAACCTGGTATAACAATTTATTTTGCAATTGTTGTGTTACCGGTACAGGGTGCTCCTGTACTTACTGGAGGTTGGGTTACTGGAAACACAATTTTGGTGTATGTGCATTTCTGTTGGAGATATATTTCATGAATAGATGAGTGAAATAGTTTGTATGTACCTCAGACTACTTGACTGTGAGTAGAGTTATAGTGTGTCTTAATTTTCTGACATATATATTTTTATTTTTTCAGGAACATTTATCCCTGGTCAGAAATAATTTGAATCAAATTCATGGTGATTTGTCTACTCTAAGTTGTCTGAGAACAATAAATTGCCGACATAATAGGCTAACCAATGGCGGCATACCAAATGATATATTTGAATTACAAGACTTAACAACTGTGGTATGTTGACTATTATACTTACATGTGCTATGGGCAGGACAACTATCGCAACCCATGTAGATATAGGTGTTCACCTCAGTATTACTGAGAGCCAGAGATACCCATGTAGATATAGGTGTTCACCTCAGTATTACTGAGAGCCAGAGATACCCATGTAGATATATGTTTTTATGTTGATAATACTGAGAACCTGAGATACTCCTGGAGATGTAGGTGTACTTACCATGTGTATTATATTTCAAAACACTTCTTTAGGTACCTTGCTACGGGGAGTGTTAGGCCACTGTTGTTTAGCAAGGCTATGAATTGAGTCTTTAGCGGCAAATTTTTAAAGTTTTGGATTTTGGTTTTTGCTATTTCTTTCGGGGATATATCTTTTACATGACATCATGAGGTGATACTCATCTTCTACTTCATTTTTCATAGGACTTCAGTCATAATAATCTGTATGCTGTCCCTGATAATTTGGAAAAGGCCAAGTCATTGCTGGTACTGAATCTCAGTCATAATAGGTGAGTCCATTGAATTAACTTGATTCACTACTTTCTAAACGATGGCTTGTGATAGTTGGACATCAAAACTTGGACATCTCAATATGGACCATATTTACCGAATTCTGTTATTGGACTGTACAAAAAACTGAGATGTTTGAAAATACGTATTGCTATTAAAAGTTTGTATTAACACTTTGATTTGAAAAAAAAAAGTTATTGTCAGTCATTTTGAAGACACACATCTAAATTGTATTTATAAATATCTTTGATTGTAAACAACAGAACAATAAACTACTAAGTACATTTGGATTATCGAAAAGAGCCGTTTAGCAGAGCATTTCGACCAGATACACTGTATGGAGTGGGATTTGCATACTGAAATATTGTCTGTTCACTCAGAGCCGTGGTTTATGTCTTTGTATTTTACAGGATTGAAAACATTTCTAATCAGCTGTTTATCAATGTAAATGATTTGATGCACCTTGATCTAAGTGATAATCATATAGGTAATGTATTTAACTTGCCAACGATTGTTAAATTGATAGCTGTACTAAGGGCACATGGAAATGGTACATTAAAAAATTTTCCGATTTTAGTTTCTACACTAGTGAGCATTGTTCCAATACTGTTATGTGCATTCTTTCAATGCTGTTGTGTACATTGTTCAACTGTAGATTACCATATTTGTTGTATTCAAAACTGTATTTTGAAATTGTGTTTGCCTTTATACAGTGCAGCTTTAATGTAATTTGGTAATACTTTCACATTCATGTTGCACATTTTTCAGTGTATTTTTCTCATTTGGGCTACGTTACCGGGTATTTATTGTTTTTCGTTGATTTCTTGGGGTTGGACAATAAGATTTATAGCAGTATATTTGTTTAACTAAGAATTTTTATTCGCCATTATAGGGTTACTGCCGCCCCAGATGAGAAGATTATCGAACTTGCAAGTTTTAATCTTGAATAATAACCCACTCGAACACGCTCAATTGAGGTATTTGAAACTTTCATTTGTGTCTATCTTGATCTATATGCTCGATCTATACACTAGTAATTTTTTAATCACTGTACAGTCTAATGACAGCTTGTACATTCATTTGTTTTGATTCTTTCACAGACAATTGACATCTTTAGTCCAGCTAACAACATTACATTTACGAAATACTCAGCGAAATTTCAACAACATACCGCCGCAACTGGACATGCTAGTAAATTTATCAGACGTGGATCTGTCTTATAATGAGCTTTCCAGGGTTCCAGAAGCTTTTTATCAAATTAAGTCTTTGAAACGAATCAACCTGAGTAATAACAGTATAACAGAAATCTCAACTCTGTGTGGTAAGTTGTCTATAATAAATCATAAAGTTGTCTTCAAAATTACTCTGTAATCATTGAGGCTATCCATGTGTTTGTTGCAGAAATGTTGCAACTTGCTTCTGTCTGTCAACAAGTTGTCGCTCAAAAACATTATGAATTTGAATGACCAATGAATATATATAGTCATCAGTACTCCAAAGGTAGATTTTAGTTTGGTACCAGATTATAATTTCCATTGGATCAGTAGTAAAAATTAATCTATTAGAGTCCAGAATTACTGCTAAGCACTCATTCCTACGATCAACAGCGAGGGACTGTGATTGGCTGATAAATAGCATACTGCTAACTATGCTCATTTTCTGAACATTGTTTTTAATAGTTGCCATAGCATCTGAAGTATGACCACTTCATTCTTTAAGACAATGCAATAAATTCACTAGCTGATGAGTGAGTAATCAATGAAATCATAATTTAGTATGTCACTGCTAGGTTGGTGAATCTTGTTGACAAAATCACTAACAGGGACTATGTCATCAATAATGAAGCAGGCATCCAATGGATTTGAATGATACATCTTGATGGTGGGTGAATCATGTTGACATAATCACTAACAGGGACTGTGTCATCAATAATGAAGCACACATCCAATTGAATTGGATAATACATCTTGATGGTGGGTGCATCATGTTGACAAAATCACTAACAGGGACTGTGTCATCAATAATGAAGCACACATCCAATTGATTTTAATGGATGATACATTATTATAGGAAGGTTCATACATGATGAATTTTTTCATTTTCCGCAATGATCAACACTATTCTATTTGCCTACAGATAACTGGACAAACTTGGAAACTTTGAACTTATCACGGAACAAGCTGGCGTCATTGCCCAATGCCATCTGCAAATGTACTTCATTGAAAAGATTGTTTTTAAATTGTAATATGTTGGATTTTGATGGTATACCCTCTGGTATTGGTAAACTCTATGATTTAGAACACTTCATGGCAGCTAACAATAAATTAGAAATGATCCCAGAAAGCCTATGTAGGTAAGTCTACAATGCTATATTTTCAAAGGTAATTGGTAAGAATAATGTTAATTCTTGCTGAACAGTTAGAAAGGGTCAGTCTCTGTTCTAGTTTTGTGCGTTTTTACCAATACTGATATAAATATACATTATTTTGTTTCATGGTTAGATCAAATATGGCTGACTGGCAGCCATTTTAAATAAGTTTGTCTATTCTTCAATATTTCTAGAAATGAACCCTAATTTTGGAGCCAGCAGACAAAATTTGAGTCAATTTTCAGTTTTTACTCAAAAGATTTGGCTATTTATGATCCAATCTTCTGAAGGAAACAGGACTGTTTTGTGAACTTGTGATCAAAAGAAGAAACTGGTGGTGCAATCACTTTGAGCGGTTCACTCCCAGATTGTTCATCTCTATGCTATATTGTTATTACAGGTGTGGTAAATTAAAGAAGTTGGTGTTAAATGGTAACAGATTGGTGACCTTACCAGAGTCTATTCACTTTGCACAGTTAGATGTAAGTGAACAATGATACTTTTAAATGTGTTATTTTTGTATATTATTGGATAAGTACTAATCCTATTTCAATAAAACTTGGTACATGTTGAAAAACATGCATATTGATTATCTTATTATTATTAGCACATTTCTGATAATTAGATTTAAATTAGAGGTGCTCTTGAATAAATTAGACAGAAAACCACAGATGTAAAACCTAATACACACCTAATTAGTTTTCGGTTGCATAATATGCATACTAATTGTCCAATTTTCCACCTATATCTGAAAAATCAAAAGCCTTGGAACAATGCTAAAGACCTGAATATTCTTTAATTGAAATTCAAGCATACTAATTGCATAATTTGCATAATATGCATAATCATCACATTTGGAAATTTGGTTCATAAATGCTCTGGGCTAATCTACAGACATGATAAGTTCAATGTTGAAAAACAAGTATATTGATTATTTAATTATTATTAGCCAGTATCTCAAACAATCAGATTTAAATTAAACTTACTATTAGACTACAAACCACAGATCTACACATTTATTTTCTGTTAGTATTTTAAACTTCAATAATGTGAATCGCATTGTTTTCACATTGTGCATCTCGAATAGCAGACAACTATTAGTTGCCAAGCTTCTTGTTTAAAAGGCTTATCTTATTTTTTTTATTTTTAATATGCCTCCAATACGCTCAGCACGAGGAGTGTCAATGTCAGTGTTTGTTTTGGAAAGTAAAATTGTGTCAAAATAGATATGAACAGTCTGAACATGGATTTGTGTTTCCTCAATCAAGGAGAAAATTTGCTTCTGCACTCAGGCCTGAATCCCCATATTTAGTTAGTCTTATGAATATTTAAAACATCATTTTCATGAGATGGGTCCCATGCTACGTATACAATGCATGTTTGTTTACGCTACTGTGGCACTTTAATCTCAAGAGCTCTACAAATATATATCTGCTGAGATTAATCATTGCCATTACAGTTAATTAATTACATTAATTAATATTAATTAATTACAGTTACTTGATGTTCGAGACAATAATGGTATGGTGATGCCACCTAAACCAGTAGAACAAGCCAAAGGCAGCGGTCCTGAGTATTATAACATTGATTTCTCTTTGAACACCCAATTAAGGCTGGCTGGGGCAACTCCTGTAGCATCAGCACAAGCACCTGGTAAGTAATCTTTTTTTTTTTTAAACAATAGCCAATTCAGATATTCAGTTTAATGTAATGTGGCAAATATTAAGACTGTTATCAAAACCAATAAATAACAATTGCACCTTTTTGAGGAGCTTGTTTTGTACAAGACCTTGAACAGCTTGGGCTGCCTCAGTGTCTCCCAGTGAAAATTCATTATCTGATTGCAGATGGCCGAATGGTTGCCATTTTAATGTTAAAATTGGTTATACATGTACATGAACAGGTATTGTGTCCTTCTAGTTACACACATTGAACATGTACTATATATCGTGACCATAATGTCATTTTCAAAATAGCCGAATACAAATGCTGTTCTAGAGCCATGTCTCTGACATACATTGACTGATTACATTATACATCATGTCATTTGTGTCGTATCCTGATTTCAAAATCAGTTTTGTTTACCAATGGAACCAATGCGTACTTCGTCATGTCATGACTTGTTAGGCTTTCGATGCATTTCAGCATCGAAAGACTTTTGTTATTGTGATGTTTATTATTCTTATTCTGCCGTTTTTTAAAACTCTTCTTCTCGAAGACGGGTTACCCACTTGACCTGATGCTTTACAGAGATAATCTATAGGCAATTCTCTAAAACGTCAAAGTTTCCGATTTTCGATATGTGACGTCATTCGGCCGCCATCTTGGATTAAAGGCGAAATTTTCAATGCCATATTGCGCACCTTTCTAAGGGTCTGAGTGCTCCCAATTTTTTATGATAGCAGCAGTGGGACAAGGGCTACAAATTCCATAAATAAAAACTTTAGCGGTCACGTGACTTTTTTTACTAGAATTTTCAGAAATTTTGTTTTGCATCTCATTTGCACATTTTTTTACTAATTCACTAACCCTGCATATATTTTGAAAGATTAAGTGCCATAGTATTTATTTTTCCAAACGGCTTCTCGAGGCAACGAGCCGTTTTTTAGAAAATGATTTTAGAATGTTTTTTCACATTTTTTTATTTTATCATGCAAAGCATCAAGGGAAAGGGGGAGGGCCCTGTACATTCTGTTTTAAATATCTTAAGCACTGTCACAGATAGGCCCATGCAACCAGTGCAATATTGAAGCTATGGGATAAGAGATGTGACTAACACATTAAATGACCATATATGGTCATGTGACCTCATTAAATATGCAAGTCTCTAATATCTCAAGTACTATTCCTTGTACAAAACGTGGAACTAACGTTATATTGAAGACAATGGACAAGAGAATTGACCAAACTATTTGTTGACCATATATGGTCATATAACTCATTAAATATGCATATCCCTAATATCTTAGGCACTATCTCAAGTACAAACATGGAACCAATGCTATATTGAAGGCATTGGAAATAAGAAATGGCTAAAATGTTCAATGACTATATATGGTCATAGAACTCATTAAATATGCATATCTATAATATCTTGATCACTATTGAAGTTAGAGATATGAAAATAACGCCATATTGAAGGCATTTCAAAAAAGAAATGGCTATAATGTTCAATGACCATATATGGTCATAGAACTCATTAAATGTGCATATTACTAATATCTCAGGCACTATTGCAAGTACAAACGTGGAGACAATGCTTTATTAAAGGCATTGAACAAGATAAATTGCTAACATGTTCAATGACCATTTATGGTCATATAATTTATATAGTGTAATCAGTTCACCATGCTGTGACTAGATCAACATACATTGTGATCAATTTGCCTACAGTATATAGTAAACGGATCACAGTACATGTCTCCATTACCCTAGATATTACAGAAGTGTAATGTCATAACTCTGTTGCATGAACGCAATTCAGCGCTAACTCAGGCATAGCATCGAAAGCCAGTAATCGCTGCTTGCAGCTATATTTGAACTTGAATTTGTAGTTGGTAAAATTTTTGTAATTGCCCCATTCATGTAGGAATGTGCTGTACTGATGTGTAATTTCTAATGTAACATGTACATACCATACTCGACCGTGTTAGCGCCCAGGGTCCTCAACTCAGAAAATCATGATTTTTTTAGGGAGGGGGGGGGGGTATTACGTATTCTCAACGGTACTTAATTCAGGAACTGACTGTCTGCCTCTACCACTGATATCACTGATGTCTACAATATCTCTTGTCAGGGATACATTGTATAATTAAATTCACATCAATGTTTCCATCTACAGTTAAAGATCATATAGCCCGTAAATTACGCCTGAGGCGCAGACGTGAATATAGTGAGAGTGCTGATCAGGAACAGGCTAAAGTTCTTAAGGTAAAATAATAAAACAAATTGAAATACCCAGACCAGATCACACAAGTTATCCTCATAAGGGCCCAAGTCAGATCACATGTACTGATATGACAGAACCCCATGGTCTGGCAGTTCTCTTCGTAAGTGAGGCATGTATTCAACCATATTTTCAGCAGAAAATACAGAATGGATAAAAACATTATTATACATTTGTCATCGTAATGCCATAAGTTACAGCGTGCTGTAACTCAGACAGTACGCCGCACATTGACCTCCGCTGTGCGTCGGTCGATACTACAGCTGTACTGTCTTCAAGCATACTTTGAGGTATTCTTGTAATAATCTTATATTATTTATTAATATATACTCTGAGTAGCACATGCACAATGAAAGTGTGTCAAAATAAGTTGTATACACCAGCATACTGTAAAACAATTTATTTTCACTGACAATTAATTTCACTATTTTGTTTTTTTGAGCTTATTCACTGTGTTTTAATTTCGTCAAAGAAAAAATGAGTTTTATTGTTATTTTACATGTTTATGTAGATTTAATTTAGCAGATTTTACTAATCAGTGAAAATAGCAAAATTGAAACCCAGTGAATAATTAAAGCATTTACAGTATTAATGATCCATTGTACAATTTCTGTTGAAGATGTGATTGTAATAATAGTATACATGTGGTTCATGTTTTTACATCAAAGTGAGTCATTTATGTTTCCACAATCAAATCTTTCCATAGTTAGCACATAGAAAAATGGTATATCATGGTTATGAGAGAGAGTTACATACTCTTATATTATAAATTCTTGTTTACTCTTATATAGGGAATGCATGATTTGGCGGAAGGTAAGAATAAAGAGGGATTTGATATGGATCAAGATGAAGAGCAGAAAGCTATTAAGTAAGTATCCAACTTTAATTTTATTTTCCATGGAACCATTGCCATACACTACTTGATCTATTGTGCAATTTCTATGGACAGCATTGCATTTTAGTTTTCTTAGGTCTCGTCTGTTTGTCCATACATTCAACCCTTAGTTCATCATCATTGATGTATGTGCCAATTTCAATCAAACTTGATCTCTCTTGAACTTGTCATCTCGCAAACTTGAGCAAGTCATCAACAGTTTATTTAAACATGCTTGAACCAATTTCAATAAATGATTGCATTGCCATCTCTCTTGGTGGGTTACTGATGAATGTCAGTTTGTTTTGTGATTTTATTTAAATGAACATGCTGTGAACATTGAAAGTATGTACAAAGACAAAAAATAATGGATATATTGCCTTGTTGATTGGTTTTTGCTTCAATGACCTTTGACGGACTGGTGGCCATTTTTTTTCCACCAAACACACAAAAAAATGTCATAAACTATTTCCCAGACATGTATTGCCCAATTTCATTCAAACAAGGTCTATGTCATTGTCAATGACTTGTTTACTATATTTTACAACAGGGACTATGCCATTTATGTGTCTTGTAATGTAATCTTTCTCAAATTTGGCCAACAGCAAGTAGCAGTTATTTTACTTATGAAACATTGAAGACCTGATATCAGCAACCATTTCTCAGATATGTTACATGGTTTCTGAGGACTTCACATGTTTTCAAGCTATAGCAATGTAGTTCACAAATTACATCTATATATAACCATAATGTGATTAAAGGTCCATGGTCGTCACACTGCACATGTGCAACATTTGTTTTGATAAACATTGATTTTCCCACAATCCATTGCACTCTTCTAATGGAAATCACAAGTATGAGGTTTGATCTGGGAACGACTTGCACTGATTATTGCCGTTGAGTCCTTCGATACCTTCCAATCGTCTAAAAAAATATCTAATTAAAGCTTGGTAACATCTCAGTTTGTACTCATTTATCTGCAGTCAAAAATCGCCATCTCTGTTTATATAAGACCCATATATCTTGTGCATTTGTGGCACGACGAATACCACCCTTTATTTATTCTCTAACATATTCTATTTAAATTAACAAGTAAGTTATAACTGTATAGCTTAAAAATAAAAAAGCCACAAGCTTTCTTGGGATCTAGTACAAGTCAATAGAACGCCTCAGCAAAGTTATAGTTGAGATTAAAATGTCCTTTGGGCATTGTATGGTTTCATTAGTTCTATGTTAAGTAACCATGACAACCACTTTTTTTTGTAGACCCAAGAGTTGGTTGGCATCTTTGGCAAAACCACAGTTGGATTACAGTGATTTCTTTACTGATGACACGGGTACATTACCGGGTATAACAGTCTGGCAGATTGAAAACTTTCTTCCTATCCAAGTTGATGAAGGTAAGATACTGGCAAGATGGTCGTACATTGTATTACTTATCTCGATAATTTATTTTTTCATGTCCATGTCCACTTTTTTCACTGGAATATTTGGGTCCAGTCATGCACTCTAAGGATGTATATTAAGCATTATCTGCCAACTATTGTTCTACTCAATTGACTGTAGTTACTTGATTATTTCTTGTCACAGTCGCCTTACCACACCACAATTTAAATTGACCTAGGCCTATCAATATAAGGTAGTACAGTTGGTACTATCGATATATGTTTAATTTTGGCTGCTAGACATTTTCACGCTTTGATGATTTCATGGTATTCATGAAGACAAAATTTGTTAAAGTCACTGACACTCTGTGGGAATTCTCTCTGCTGCAAAATTTTGAGATTTCCACTGAAATTTGTAAGATCGTTGTCTCTCGCGAAATAAAAGTTGTTTACAGTTATGTATTTCCCTTGAACGACTGAAGACATTCAAGTTTGCTTTCCAAGTTGGTACTACGAAGCCTATTGGTGTTTTGTAATTAATTAATTAATTAATGTGTAAAATGTTTATTAGCATGGATATGCAGGAATCTTCATAACTAGTATGATGTTTATAATAACTACCGCATGTTACTGAGGTTAAATCTGAGTAACAGCGTAACCTTTCTTTGATACATGCTAACAGCATGCTGTTGTCATCTTTGTATCTGTCTTTAATTATGTTGTTATTTCTGTCTTGTTAGCATGCTACATTCCTTGATGTTATTGTGTGTTTTTTTCTAACCCCTTGTTTGTGCTAAAATCTTTGTGCCAAATATTGTACGTTTTCATGCATTTTTCTGTGTGTTCAAAATACTGCAGATGTAAATGTCTAACTTGTCAATCTTTTTTTCCACTTCTGCTTGTCATCCTGGAAACCCATATAGATCCTGACTGTGGTAATTACATAACTTATATTCTATAACATTCATCTTCTATTGCATCATGTTATATGTGTTTGTTTGTTCAATTTTCTGCTTGTACATGTAGTATCATTTTCTAATTTAGTATGGAGTAACAAGTTAATCTTTAATTTCTTTTTTATCCTACACAGCTTTGTATGGCAAGTTTTATGAGGCTGACTGCTACATTGTACTAAATGTGAGTATTGTTTATAGTACATTGTACCGGATTCTGCCTTAAATTCGCCCAGGGCCGTTAAACGGCAGTTCGGGTTTAAAATGGGACCAAGAAACCGCCCAGGGCGATTTTTCGGCAGTTTTTTAAGGTGTTATTTTAATCTTTTATGATGCCTAAAAGTTTCGCTGTAGTCATTGATGCTTATTCAAGAGTATTGATGTTTATTATGACTAGCGTGAATGAGTTAGCTTCGTTTCGACAATGAGCTGTTATCACTGTAAACAATGTTAAATTATTCTTCAAATGCTCAGTTTATCTTTTTGAAAACAACTATTTTTTTTATTTAAAAACAAATCATGCCGTTTCCAATCGAAATCCAAGCCAAAAGATCGTACAACAACATCGGCAAATCTCTTTCGCGCTGAGTTCAATAACATTAACATATTTAAATGTTCTATGGTAATTTGAACACGTTGGCATCATCCATCGTTTTCATTGGTTAATTATTGATTTGACCTGCCAGGTCAAAGAACACCATTTCAGGTCAAACATGGCGGATATTCATTTCTACAGCATTGAGTGTTGAAAATGCGATCAAAATCATTCGCTTACGATGAAATAAGTTGAAATTTATTTGCATTTTATAACGATTCAACCAATTTATTTTTTGCACGTTATTATAATTATTACTAGGTAATAATCAACAATTGTAAAACGCAGCATGACCGGATTGCAATACCACGATCATTTGCTACTAAGCAATGCAGTTGCGTTCGTTGTTATTTGAAACTTCTTTTATTTAGAATATACTTTTGTTACTAATAAAATGTAAAAAACAAACAATTGTATTTGGCACACGAGGTTCGTTAATGTGATTTTTTTAGAGAAAGATGCGCGGTCTACTTTTTAATCCAGCTAGAAAAAAATGTATACAATTTTAGATTAGCTTCTGCAATAGTTTCTTTCGTTTTGGGTGGTCCAACTGCCGGTGTTGAATATCGGCATAGGTGGATTTTTCAATGAAAATATAAGCCTCCCTAAAAATATTTGATGAAAATTTTTTGAAATTTGAACCCCAAATAAGGGCCCACCAGCCGTGAAACCGCCCAGGGCGATTTTTCGGATGGGCGAATTTACGGCAGAATCCGGTAATACATTGTAGTCATTTGCTTGTTGCTATATGGGGCTTCTCTCAAAAAAAATCACGGCCATGGCAACAACCAAATAAACTACCACGGTAAATGATATTGGTAAAAATATTTTGGAACACTAATAACCATGGTAAATAGTTGATATCTCATCTAACAGACACTCAGACCTACATGTAGTTTATCATTTTTCAACAGCATAAGCAAATCATACCAAAGAACATTGAACATGATTAGTTCTGATACGAGTAAATTTATCATTGAAAGTCAAATTGTGCTTGTGAGCTTACTTGCCTTGCACCATGAATTGATGTGCTTCAGATTAGAGTCAGCAGTGTGTAATGATGATTTATTAAATATTGGAGAAGGTGGATAAAGCTTGAATATTTTTCCTACTACACTGTTTTGCTCTGTTGCAGTCATTTATTGATGAAGCTGGTTGTTTAGACTATCATATTTATTTCTGGATTGGAGAAACATCCACTGTAAGTACATTTTTATCTCCACTATGTGTGCGTCTATTCTTATATGTAATTGCAATGTGTGGTTTGTGAAATATGTTATGGATGGTATTAGATCATTTTTTTGTGTGTGTATTGAACAATAGTTTGAAGTTCTGTGGCTGCTATATGTACAAGTTGAGTGCACACTCACAACAGAAAGTGGGTTAATTGTGTTGATGATATTATTTGTCTCATTTTTTCAATATTTGAGTACACATCTTTGTTGTTCCTCTGAGATATCTCCATATGATGTATATACAAATACCCAGATGCCTTAAAAAAACTTTTTATTCCGCTTCACAGTTGAATTTACTATAATATAATAATTGTCTTATTTCATGCATTTTGAAAACTTTAAGACTTGGGCACCTGCTGTACAAAATCAACCAAGTTATTTGAAAAAGTGAAGCTGGTGTAGTAAAACATCTAATTAAAACTATGCTATATATTCCTGGTTATCAATGTCATCTTATGCACACTTACTTTAATTGCATTCATTTAAATTTCGCTATTTATGTTGATAATTGGAATCCACATTATCATGTAAATTAATAAAATAAGAGCTTTTATTTTTAATAGTTTCCCTGGCAATTTTGTAAACTTGAAACCCAATATAAAAAAATACCAAAATAATAAAAATATAAATGGTTTTGAAGTATGTCATGAGCTGTATTGTTTTGCGCATGGTATCCTAGCAACCACCTAAGCTCTGCTTCTGTGAATTTCATGGTCTTTATATTCACTCACAGCTTGACAAGAAAGCCTGTGCCGCAATCCACGCTGTTAATCTGCGTAACATGCTTGGAGCCGAAAGTCGCACAGTACGTGAAGAGATGGGAGACGAAAGCGAAGAGTTTTTAGATTTATTTGATAATGGTATAGCGTATATCGAAGGTGGAACCTCCAGTGGATTCTATACTGTAGAGGACATAGAGTACCCTACGAGATTATACAGAGTATCTGGTACACAGAATTTACATCTTGAACCAGTAAGTACATGTATTTACATTGTATTACCTCATTTGCACTTTCAGTAGCATATGGGCCAACGGTCATTAAGGCTGACCCCCCCCCCCCCTCTACACAAGCAAAAGTTTCTGAATGCGAAATTTTAAAAAGTACAAAAATCTTTACTAGTTCTGTTCACATTGTAATGTACTCGCGTGTACATTCTCACTTTTTATTTTGCTTGAAAATGAAAATGTTTTTGATCATTGTGCTCATCATTTAAAATGTGTGTGTCAAAGCTTTCATTATCTGAATTCTAGAAACACAATTGGAGAACAGTTCAGTTTTCAGGAACAATTGAAATAATAGGATAAATTTGTGACAGTTTTAAAATTAAAATAAAAGTCTGTGCCTAAGAACAAATATGCTATTATGATTTCTTCAAGTCTGAACACAATCTTTTTTCCATGTTGAGGACAGGCAGATAACAATTTCATAACAGTGGTTGACAAACCTAAGTGTGCAGCCATGTTTAATGTATTTGTGTTTAATTCAGGTACCTGTTGAGGTTTTCTCACTGGATCCTAAGTTTGTGTATATACTGGACTGTGGAATGAAAATGTACCTGTGGTATGGAAGCCAATGTAAATCACTAACAAAGTCAAAAGCAAGGTATGTGCCACCAAAATGGTGTTGCAATATTTTGCTCTTCTTATTAATTATTTTTTCTAATAGTGGACCAAATGTTCGCAATTTCTTATTGATTACATACAGGTCTTGATTTTGGAAAGAATAAAACAAAAAATGTGTGGGTTTTATTTTGTTAAAGTTGCACTCAGAGTTGTTTCTTGAAGCTTTATTAAGGTTGTGGCACTGTTATGTGAATTTGGTGGTCTTAATTTATGCAAATTGCAAAACAAAACAATCCCATAATTTCAACATTTAAGAACTAGTTTATTGGTTGTGTCCTGTTTAAAATGTTCTTCAAGTATAATTTTTGGGTACATGTAGTTAAGACAATTATATTTTATCCAATGTTGTGGTAAGTGGCAGGCAGATTTTTATCAGTTAATTTGTGAAAACTTTACTTTACTAAAGTTTTTATCTCAGTGCCATAATATCCAACATTTTTATGAATCGCTTTTTTTGTTGTATTTTTGGATGATTTGTTAATCTTGTACCAAATGGATGCAAGCCTCAATTGACTACAGTTCTTGTTTAATATTCTTGCAAAAATGTATGGAAAGAAAGATGTGAGTTTATTTTGTGAGAAGTTACATAAATTGACTTTGGCGTTCAAGGAATAAATTGATGAATATTAATGACTTGTTTATTCAGGTTAATGTCTGAAAAGATCAACAAGAATGAAAGAAAGAATCAGTCTGAGATCATTGCAATGTTACAAAATGATGAAATTGAACGGTTTTGGGAACTCCTGAGTGGTAAACCGGAGTGGTTTGAAGTTAAGGTATGTCAGATAAAAGTAGACAGAGAAAAAATGAAATTTTGACTATGTTCCATTTTGATTTCTCTTATCTGAATTAGGTTTGTAACCAGTCTCAGTGTTTTGTATGGAATTTATTCTCACTGATTTTTGACGAGTTGACTGGAAAATATAAGAAAAAAAGTGTATTCGCTGGATTTTATTTTCACTGAATCATTCCTTCAGCAAAAATAATTCCAAGCGAATATAAAGTATTTTACAGTATAGGACCCCCTGTACAGTTACAATCTGCTTTTACAAAATGGCTGCCAGTGCGGGGAGGCACATCAGCTAAGTACACACATAACAGTCCCTTCCCTACCTGGTTATCATTTGGTAGAGAGGAGCACAGGAGTAAAGTGCTTTGCCTAAGAATAGAACATTATGAACCAACAAGATTTGAACTAACATTGTATTGATTGTAAGTCCAAAGTCTTAAAATGCCTAGTAATAGAAGCATCCATCCACTAGGTTTATTCAATTCAGACCATTAGACATACCTTTACGAAAACACATAGAGCACATGCAGTTTTATAACTTTAAAGAGTTTGAGATTCATTGTAACTAACACATAACTTTCTGTTCAGCCATGGGTTGAAGATTTTGTACCTGCACGTCCCAAGTTGTACAAAGTTGGCTTAGGTATGGGATATTTGGAACTTCCACAAGGTAATTCTAACTTCCATTATAGATGTTATATATGCAAGCCTACAATCAATCATGAGTATATACATATTGTACATCTGTTATTAGGAACACAACATGAAAGTTTTTTTAACATTATGGAATATTGTTATTTTAGTTGATTTACCAAGACAGAGGTTAACTCAAGATTTATTGAATACCAAGAATGTTTACATACTAGATTGTCACTCTGATGTATTTGTCTGGTAAGAATTATATTTTAAGCAGGGGTTTTTCTAGAAAAAAACTGCAAGAGGGAGCACTGCAATTCAGCAGAGCCACCAAGTAGGGGAGATAGGGTTCTCCCTAAGTTAAAATGGAGTATTCTATGACTTCCTTGGGGCCAAAATTACTATCAGACAGGTCACAGTTGACAACTGTGGCCACATATGATCCCTGGTCAATCATAATTTTATGGTTGCCAGAGGATCTGCTTCCCAGGGTAAGGTGGTGCATGGCATGATGAAAGCGCTGTGCCCTGGTTTAAGTGTTGCACAAGTCACAAATGGTGACTTTACAATTACTGTAATCATCTATAGTTGAATTTATTTTCCTGAAAAAAATAAACAACTTAATTGTTGTGTGTAGGTTTTTCATTTCGTGCTCCCCTTACCTCTTACCATCTAGAACTTTTGAACCCTCCAAATTTCGTATAAGCAGCAGTACAGAAACCACCATAAACTATGCAGCTATTTCATATATATATATGTTTCATATATACATATGTTTTAATTTTACAATTGAGAAATGTTTGCGAATTTTGTGGTTTTGAGAAACCTTGAAATTTTGTAGTAGTCCATTTTGGTATTTAAAGTTGCATATATATTTGACCTGTCACTACCAGAACAAGGTAAAAACATATAATGTTATTTTTGCTAAAAAAATATGATATTGTGTTATAACCTTTCCACATGTTTCATTTTGAGTGCAGTGTAGGTTTTCACAAACCTACCTACCATTTTCAGTTCAGCATGTTGTGCGTGAAATCATCATCGCATACGATACAATGAACACAGAAGTATTTTAGGTTTACACATTTAATGATGTATGGATACCTCAACACAATATTCCCCTATATAAAAAAAAAGAAAATTTAAAATCAAATCATTTGAGTTTTGCTGCAGACGTTCATTCAGTCTACACCTTTCACATAATACGCAAGATTTTGCATTGAATGGACAATTACCTATTGCCCTTCATGGACTGACAAAGCCTCTTGGGATGCGGTACAGTTATCATGCTCCAAAAAGTAAAAACAAATTATATATTTTCTTGAAGCCTTTGTTCCTGGCTTTTTGAAAAAAATGATCTGCAACATGTACCACTTATTTGTTGTTTCAATCTCTAGGATTGGTCGTAAATCAAGTCGACTGGTTAGAGCAGCAGCTTTAAAACTGTCACAAGAAATATGCAATGTTATTCCAAGACCAGATGTTGCCATGGTTACACGTAATCTTGAAGGGTATGTTTCAGTTGACTTCTTTCAATGTTTGTTTTCAAATGTTAGAATAAATGTGTTTTTTTGGGATCATCACATTTTAATTTAAAGTCTCATCTTTTTTGAAGGGAGTTGGAATACCAGGTTAATTTCTTTGAAATGTATTTACATTTTATAGTTTTTGAGTGCCATTGTCAGGTACTGATAAAAATTGTCAAACCTTTTGATCAAAAAGTAAGAGCAATATCTTAAACTGTCTGTATGGTCCAATATTTTACAAAATGTGAATGTTTGCTCTAAATTTTGCACAAGTAAAATATCTGAGTTTTAACATAAAATACTGAACAAAAAAAAAAAAACATACACAATTGTAATTACAATTTTTGATCAGGATATTATGTTGGTGACAACCTCTCCTTGTTCAATAGATAATAGCATGTTCAAACAAAATAGGTTTTACCATATGATGCCTTCGTCAGCAGCACCATCAACAATATGTCATCTTCTATCAGGATGGCGACATCATAATTAAACATCAACATTTTTTAGCTGGATGTTGATGGCTTTATTTTTGAAAAATCACTATTGACATCATTGGGAAAGAGCTTGGTCTTTGAGCACCATCATTGGTTTCTTGTTTTCAGGAACATGTCGTAGTCTAAAATTGTATTTGACCTCTTGAAACTATGATGCCGATGCTACAGACCAGGATGGTTACTTTTGAATCATACTTATTAAACGTTACAAATTATTGCATGACTCAAATTTATCAGTGTTGCTGTCCAAATTTGTATTGCTCTTCAAAGGAAATCAAAAAAAAGGCCTTCATTTCACCTATATAAACCTTGGTACCATTGCACAACAGTTCAATTTTCTAGAAATGTGTGATCATTGTATTGTGTAACTGTTATCTACAATCTGTCACATGCGTGGAGCGATGACCACCATCCTTAAACATTGTAGTCCATTTTTATTTCAACATTGGGGAGAGACTGAACATTAAACTGTTCCTTACTGCAAGTAAATGCTCACAACTCGAAAATGAAACTGTATATTGATCATCTTTAATAAGCATGTATGAAGGAGGTGCTGTGTGTTTTCTTTGCTGCGGGAAAATATACCATGCTAATTTTGATAATGAAAAAAACAAATTATTACACTCTCCATTTTGCATATTAACATTATGCAGCAGAGCTAAATTGAAATAACAAAACTTTCTTCTCTTTCTTGCTTCTGAGTACTTCCTTCTCCATGCCTTTTATTAGTTCCTGATTTCAGACTTTATGTGTATTGTGCCCTGTTTATCAATCTATCTAGTCTTTATTTCCCAAACGTGCATAGACTGATTTCAATAAAACTTTGAATATAGAATGTGATATTTGGTTGGAACAAACATTTATACTGTTCTGTAGTTGGTTCATTGTTATACATACATGTAGATAGATTTCTTAAAACTAAGCACATCATTGGATATTGACGAACATAATTCTGTCATACTGAACTGACTAAAAAAAGAACCACACATTTTTGTTTTTCAAAAATATTGATCTGGACTGATTGTGTTCAGCACGAGTACATATCCATTCCTATCATGGGTTATTTTTAAGTCAGTGGTAACTTGTGAAAATTCACAAAGTCAGTCAGTCCATTCTGGAACTAGATCTTTAGGCTTTTTTTTTTAACTATAGGTGAAGTGAGATTGAATGAGAAACCTACACTTTTGTGCAGTTTGGCAAGACTTTATATTATTCTCAACAATATCGTTGAGAATTCTTCTATTCTCTCCATTCAATGGTGAGAATCCAAAGTCCTATTGCTTCATAAGTGTAAATTGAAATTTTTTACCATTTTATTGGCCAAATATAAATTTTCGTCATTTCATTGGTGACTGACCAAAGACTTTGCAGTCCAACAATTTTTTAAAACAAATTCTGATCCCGATGAATTTGTGTGAATTTGTATTCTCGCTAATGAAGTGTTGAGAATAATACCAATTCTTGCCAAACTTTGAGAAAGTCTCAGTTTCTGGCCTTAATTTCACACTTTTTTACCAAGAGTGTTTGTTGATACATGGTATCTAGAAATCCTCAACTGATTTTATTCACTATCAGTAGATACAGTACAAGTATAGCCTCAACTGCACACATGATTTTAGACATATACCGGTATCCCTATATAAATTTATAATGAAAGCATACAGGGACTATGTCATAAGTTTTTCTTTTCTGTTGTCTTATTTTCTTGCGTGTGTACCTTATTACTTCCAAGACATGAAAGTCAGCTTTTCAAATCCAAGTTTGAAAACTGGGATGATGTTCTGTATGTGGATTACACACGTACAGCAGAGCAAGTGATCAAGATGGTGATTAAGGGAATGGGGTAAGACAGTTGAGAATGACCTAATTTTTGTGATTTAATACAGTGGCCTGTTCAATCTGTGCATGGCATAGAAAACTAACAATCATAATTAAAATAGGACAACAAAAGGCATGGAGATGGAGAAATACTAACCACTATAGGTCATGATGTAAAATAGGTAACTAGAAAAGTGCTTTGGATGCTTGCTATCTCGTCATTTGTTTTGTCAGATTAACCCCTTTTAATGTAATAGATCAATTCATACTAAAAATCATGCAAACTTGACTTGAATGCACAAGACATTTCTTGTGATTGTATAAAACAAACCTGTAGAAGTCATGACAAGGAACAACACTTATTGTTATTGACTCTGTGCATGTAATGACAACAAAATAAATTGATCATGATGCAGAACAAATTCTATAGCCTGGTTTGAAATATGAATTTAAAATAATGTAAATAAGAAAATATTCACTGATCATTGGTTTTAAATTCACTGGTTTGTGAAGGAATTAATATATATTCTATTGTTATAAATTTGAATTTTAACTGGATTTTAATTTAGCATATTCAGGTGTCATTGAAAATTAAAAAGAGCCCAATATAGTAAAACATGCATCTCCAGTAAACAGATATGGCAGTGAGAAACAGCAGAAAGACGATCCAAACCCTGTCACCATATTACCATATTTGTTGCTGATTTAAAATGGTGGCATACATATGCCTTGATCATCTGATAATGTGTTAATTAAAATGTTATAACCTGTTGTTTATCAGACATTCTTCTTAAGGATGGTCACAGCTAATACCATTTGAGAAATTTTGTTAAATTATACTTTATGATTGGCTGTTTCTGACAAAAAAATTTGGGGTAGCCAAGCTAATTTTACCGGTAGTTATGTTCTTCAATTGCATGCATATTCCCATTTTTCCAGTCTGAACTGGGCACAGAGTTGAAATTAACCTTTTCACCACCAGTTGCTTCTTTTCATCACAAAATAGTCCTGTTTATAGTCTGCACTTTGTTTCAGAAGATTGCCAATTTTTTTTAGTACAAACTGAAAATTGAATCAAATTTTGTCTGTTGGCTCCAAAATTAGGGTTCATTTCCAGAAATATTGAAGAATGTAAAAAAAATGTGCAGACAAATTTAGGCAAGAAAGTCTGGTGGTGAAAAGGTAAATGCTGTAGGATACGAGTAATTGTCATTGTTTAAATGTAAACAAGTTGAGTGCTTTTAAGTTTTTCTAATTTTTCACTAGTATTGTCAACAAAACTTTTTCGAATCCATTTCAATTTTTCGTAACCTTGTCATTTGCATTATTATTATTTTCTTCACTACAATAAATCATGTCACAAACTGTTGTTTGAATACTGCTCTCAAAAGTGACTCTGGAAGCATGTAATTTGCTCAATGTTAGATGTTCACTTGGGAGCAGTAACACAAATGAAATAAAGAGACATCTTATTAGTTGTGTAAGAAGACTGCTAAAATCTATATATCTTCAATTGACAAACTGAAAATCCTATGTAGGACTCATTGACTTTATGGCATTCTAAAACTCAAATACAAGTCTATAGAAGTGTCGGGTAATTTTTTGATTGCTCGTAAAAAATTCTGATGCAGAGGAATTTCAAGCAAGGGCTGCAAGCCCAGATGTAGTAAAATTTGCATACATCTGGATGATGTAATAAAATTTGCATATACGTAGAACTTGTCTGCAGGGAAAGATCAATTTAATGGGTGGGTTTTTAAATAATTATTGTGCTGCGTCGCTTTCTATTCACACTTGTTAGACCGCACACTGTATTACTTGCGATTGGTTAGCAATTTCATGACGTCATTCTACCTTTTTCTACAGTGATGAGTGCTGGCGTAGCGGCAGTCTTTCGGGCCTTATGACCTTCGCTTGAAATGCCTTTACCATTTATTAACACATTACAACATTTGATAAAATTCATTTCATTTATTAGTGATTTACTTGCGTTTACTGTCTAGGTAGTTTGTGACGAAGTCAACAAATGTAATGTGGGTAGTACAATCTGACTAAAATCTTGTGTTTTATACAGTACGGTAGTGATAAATTAACAAACTTTGTGCTAAATGTTTGAATAATAAGTGTATCATTAATAGCATTAGATCAATAATTATTAATTAAAATTCATCACTTGGGATGACAACACAGTTACACCAACACATGGGATGACTACACAGTC